GCCGAGTATTTCGACGACTGGCTTTTCACACCCACATTTTCAGCTAGCACATTCCAGGGGTTCACCTCGGACGAGGAACCGGCACTAGAAACACGTTCCCCGGAGGGATCACCCTCGGGGTCTGCCTCAGACCGTTCCTATTGGTGGGACAATCGACCAGAGGAGCAGTGGCGCAGGAAGTGGCTGGGGGGTCCTTGGCAGGCAACGTCCCGGGAGGAGACCAGGGAGAGACGGACATGGACGTGTTGGGGGGGGACCTTGGGTTCGAGCACGGCGGCAAAGAGATGGAAGCAGAGGAAATTGAGGTCGGCGAGAGCACGGAGGACGAGCCGGACTTATCCGGCTGGATGCACGCCACGGGGACGAACTGTATCCGGCACTCACCCCCACAGCGACGGAGCACCCAGTACCCACACCTGAAGGAGGGGAGGGGGAAGGGGGCTTCGAGGGGGATGGATGTCAGGGGTTCAGGAGCAGAGGCACAGGAAAGGGAGGAAATAGAGAGCGAGGGGGAGGAGTCCGAAGGAAATGTTAGCGATGACAGCGGTCCGAGGTCTCTGAGTCTTTCCAGCGAATCGGAAGATTCACAGAAAGGGGCTCCCTTGGTCAGAGCAAGGGGGGTGCCGAGGGGGACACCCCAGGAAGAAGGGGCCAGAGGGGACTCAGAGAGCAGCAGTTGGAAATCAGGACCAGCGTCCACACCAGAGGGGTCCCAGGCATCGGGATCAGGCGGCGCACTGCCAGTGGGAGGACATGAGTCAGGATTGGCCACGCCTCCATCGGGGAGCGAGGAAACGGTCGAGAGGAAGGTTGAAGGCTGGCGCGCGCGCCAGGTTCAAATGTACAGGAGGGCGGCGCAGTTGGCAGCCCGGATAGGGAGCCAGGTCCCAAAGCCCGCCGAAAAGCGGGGGAGGAGTCAAGGGGGTCAACGTCAGCGTCAGAAGAATCCAGGAAGGAAGGGACCCCGGGGGGTAGCAGGACCCAGAGGAGAAAGGAGAGACGTAAGAGGTGGAGTAAGGCTAGAATCTTAAACTGGTGTACAGGGGGCGGAGACTCAGATGGAGCTTCGCCGATCTAACCCCTAGACGTAGAGCTGGGGCGCTGCGGCTTGAAAATGGAAACTGTACTTCAATAAAGACTTTTGTACATTACTGCCGGCTAGCGTTGGTCCTCTGTGAGCTGGGACCTGGAGCCAGCTCTGACACTTAGCCTTGTAGTCTTAGAGTGCGTTCCTTTACACGCCTCCTTAGAAGTAAAGCCCCGCTGAGGTAAGTCTGCAGCCCTAAGGTGAAGTCACCAACTCCTGCAGAGAAAACACCAACCAATGAGAAAACACTCCAAAGGTTCAGCGAAGCAAACCCTCCTCCTTTCACCCATTTCCCGAAGTTACATACTGTACCTGAAGGTAAAGGTGGTTTTCACTTCGCTTTCTGATCATCCTACTAATTCCGTGTAAACGAGTCGGATGCCGACGACCGTCGGATCACATTCAGGCTGAGATGATAAACCAGAGCTCAGCGAACGGCGGAATCTGTATGCAAACCCAGAATTCCAGAAAGAACAAAGTATCACTGAGCATGAACAGAGTGCGTTTCCTTGTTTCCGCTTTTATACTAGGGCAGTGGTTTTGACTGTGTGTGTTTCCGTGTTTGAGCCCCGTGCAGACCAGGCCCGTGCAAACATAGTCGGAAAACAACCTCCCTGTTTTAGACGCGCGCAGGAGACTGAACACCAGATTGTCCAAAGCGAATCTTCTCTCCCCTCCATCAGTCGCAGGATTCTCTCTCTTTCTCTCCCACAAGTTATCTTTGATTCACAAGGAGGATGGTGACGTCCGCAGCAGCAGCATTATTAAATACAAGTGAATGGAGACCCCCCCCCCCGTGCAGCTGCTCTAAAGCGTGCATGCAGTTGTCCCCTTTCAATACGCTGCGTCCCGATCTCTGTCAGTTTAATGGCCTTGTTTTCCAGTTTATTGCTGCTTCATCCAATGCACACATACCAATAGATCTGCTTTGTTCGCGCTTATCGGCAGAGCCGATTACATGACACGGCTTTCGTGGGTCTGCTGTAAGCCTTTAGTCCTGGCAGAGGTGGAGAGGGGGGTAAGTGTTGATTGGGGGGGACTTTAAAAAGAAAGCTCTAAAGCCCCCCTCCCACTTTCAGCAAGGAAAAACAACTCGGCGCTTTTGTTGAGAAACGGGGGCCTTCCTGTAATTTTTTTTTCGGTCTAGGCTGGCTAATTCCAGAGGATCAAGTCCTGTTATCGCAGTTTAAAAAAAAGTGAGATGATTTCTTCCACGGACTTTAGCTACAGCCAGATCCTAGGCATGCTAGCTTCTTCCTTCTCCCAAGGGCCAAGGATTTACGCTATAAACTCCCTGAGCTGAAAGCAACGGGAATTCCTCTCGAGTAAAGTTGGGGGTTGACTGATTTATGGTGGCGCCATGTCTTTTCCAGGCACGACTTGGGCTAGGGCAGATAAGAACTCCGTGGATCTAATATTAAGAACCAGCGATGCCGTTAATCTTACATTACACTTATTGCTTATTGCATTTATATTTACGGTAGATCTTCATTTAATCGGCCCAACAACCCTGCGACGAGATTAGGCAGAGGGGAAGTGACTGGCCCAAGGTTGCCCAGTGAGCTTCATGGCCGAGTGGAGAGTTGAACCCTGGTCTCCCAGCTCCTAGTCGAACAACTGGACCGCACTTGCTCTCAATCCTGCTGCATTTGGGGGCCCTTATTAATATTCTTGTGGGGGGCTGGGCTTCCTCTTACAGGTGATAATGCAAATGTCTTCAACTGGTAGCCAGACAATCCTTATTTTCTTTCTTTCTTTAATTTATATACAGTGGTACATTGGTTTGCAACTGCTTTGGATTACAACCGTTTTGGAATACAACCGTTTCAAACCCGGAAGTGTGTGTCCCTTTTTTTGGATTACAACCAATTTGGAGGGGGGGGAGGCCCCATTGGCGAAAGCACACCTTGGCTTACAACTGGACCTCCGGAACAGATTATGGTTGTCAACCAAGGTACCACTGTACCACCTTTATCTTCCAAAGATCTCTTACGTGTCTTACATAGTTCTCCTCTTCCCCATTTCCCCCTCACAACAACCCTGTGAGGTAGGTTAGGCTAAGAGATGGTGACTGGCTCAAGGTCACCCAGTGAGCTTCATGGGTGTGTGGGGATTCGAACCCTGCTCTCCTAGGTCCTAGTCCAACATGCTAACCATTGCACCACACTGGCTCTCAATCCTACTGTGTTTGGGGACCCCTCTTAATATTCTTCTTGTGGGGGCTGCTCATCCTCTTGAGTAGGGCCCTTTACTCCTGCCCCCAAGTCCTGCCCTGAGGGCACCAGTCCTAAGCACAAGAAGTATGACTGCTTTGCTGGTTTGAGATCTAAGATTGGGTAGCGCAACATTCTGTTTGCCACAGTGACCAGTCGGGGAGCTGGCAACCTTTTCTTCATCCCCTCCTGGGTAACCTTCCAGGAGCCACATGCCAGGGGTGGGTGGAGCCGAAGGAGAAAGTGGGCAGAGCGATGGTTGTAAATTTTTTCACCTTTGTACAGCAGGCTAGTTTCCACACACTCCTCTCTGTCCTCCCATCCAGGCAAACAAGAAGCATAGCCAGAGTTCAAGGATACCTTCCAGTCCTGCAAAAACAGTGAAGGAGGGTGCCTTTCAGGATCGAACCTTGTCACATCGAAGGTTTGCATGGAAACCATAATTCATCGGATCCCACAATCCGGGAGATGAAGACACTGAAACACTAGCAGTTTAAACAATACCACATAATAAAAAGCAGTTTGTAAATGAAGCCAATGTTTCCAGAAGGGAATCCCACCAGCGCGGGGCCACTATAGAAAAGGCCCTGACTCTCTGATTCCTGCCAATCTAATATATTTATTTTCTTGTTTATTTATTACTTGTATAGCTCATCTTTCCTTCTATGTGGCCTTCATACTTCTCCCCCACTCCATGTTGTCCTTACAACAACCCTGTGAGGTTGATTAGACTGAGTGAGAGTGACTGGCCCAAGATCACCCAGTGAACTTCATGGCTGAGTGGGGATTTGAACTTTGGTCTCCCAGGCCCTAGATCAGCACTCTAACCACTGCACTACACTGGTTCTCAATAATAGATCAGGATGGCAGCCCACATGCAAGGCCCCTGAGATGTATCTCAAGGCTGAGGCAGGTTCCTGCTGAGGCAGGCGGTCTTTCAAATAATCTGGTCCCATAGACCAAGTCCTATGATGAAAGGTTGAAGAAGCTGGGTTATGTTTGGCTTGGAGAAGAAGAGAGGATTAAAAGACGATACGATAACCAACTTCAAATATTTGAAGGGCTGCGCAGAGATGAAGGAGCACATTTGTTTTTCTGTTGCGCCAGAGGGTAGGACCCAAACCAATGGGTTCAAATTACAAAGGAAGGAATTTAGACTAAACTTCAGGAAGGACTTCCAGACTGTTGAAGCTGTTCCACAGTAGAAAAAGTTAGCTCAGATAATGGTGGACTCTCCTCCTGAAGGCTCTTAAGTAGAGGCTGGACGCTTTTGGTAATGAATTTCCTACGTTGGTGGGAGGGGTTGAGCTGGATGACCTTTGGAGGTCCCTTGCAACTCTTTGATTCTAAAGCTACCACCTGCTTATTGCTACAGATCAAACTAATACTGTATTAAAAAGATTTAGAAGCTGGCAGTTCCATCTCTTCTCCCCTACCCCACTTTCCACATGCATTAATTTTGCATCTCCACCCTGGCTAGAATCAGGGTCTTTTCTACCTAACTTGTGTTTCCTGTAATGAACTTTGCCTTTTTGTTTTCCATACTCAGAGTCTCAGTGTGTCTCCATCAAGGTCACAGTGTGCTCCTCCAAGCAGTGGTTTCAGTGCACCATGCAAGTTCCTGTGGTTAAGAACATGTAGCTGAGGACTCCGAGAACTCATCTTTCCATTGCTGGTTTATATGCATTTTATATATGTATGCTGGGATAGCTCAGTCGGAGGAACGTAAGTCTCTTAATCTCTGGGTCATGGGTTTGAGCCCCACATTGGGCAAAGGATCCCTGCATTGCAGGGGGGGTTGGACTAGATTGTCTTTGTGGCCCCTTCCAATTGTGATTCTATAATTCTGTACCACAGGGCTAGAGAACCCGTGGGCCTCCAGAGGTTGTTGGACTCCAACTCCCATCAGCCTTAGTCAGTGTGGCTAATAGTCAGGGTTCATAGGGAATGCAGTCCAACAACCTTGGGAGAGTCACAAACTCCCCCCCCCCCAAAAAAAACCCGACTAAAGAACAATGGCAAGAGAAACTGATGGACTATGCAGAACTGGCAAAATTGACACATAAATTGCGGGACAAGGATAACAGTGACTTTAAAGATGAATGGGAACCTTTTACAAAGTATTTAAAGAAGCAACAAAGTGAACTGGACTCCCTGGCAGGCTTTGAATAAACACTCACAAACTCTTTATTGATAATAACTAGTCAGATAAATTAAGGATTTATACAATTTTGTGACATGCAGAGAATAGCATCTACAAAGAAACCAGAGAGTGGAACTGAGGGAAGTCGGGGGTGGGTTGTTTTAGGGGGGGAGGGGGGAAATGGGGGGGAATTAAGGATGATATGTTGTAACCTAATATGTTTTGTTTAAATGCCTAATAAAAAATATTTAAAAAAACAAAAACAAATTCCCCATCCCTGTTGTTAGACCTGTTTTAGCTGTTGGAGTCTTTCCTCGCCTCCATGAACCCTGGGAACTGCAGTTTTCTGAGCTGTGCTGAACATGCTCTGTCAACATACCCCTGGCCACACAGGACAAGAATTCCCCCAGAAAGAGGCAAGTGCTTATTAAACCCGTTTTCAGAGGCAGCGTTTGATATGCCTTCAGTGTCTTTGCAAATAGTAAAATTTTCTTATAGAGAAGCCATGCAAGATAAACCAGCTTCACTTGGTGGACATGCATCGTGTAGATGCGCCTGTCAAGGTGCGCTCATCCCCATGAATTCCATTATTAAGCAGAATCCCAGTCTCTCATCTCTGCTTAACACTCGACTCCTCTTATTGATGGGAATAAGAGGAGATTGCAGAAAGCCAGTGCAGAGCAGTGGTCAGAATTCAAGTCCTCACTGGGCCAGGACGCACAGCGAGTGACCTTGGCTCAGTCACCATCTCTCAGCCCAACCTACCTCACAGGGTCGTTGTGAGAATAAAATGGGAAAACGCTGTACACCGCCTTGAGCTCCCTGGAGAGAAAGGTGGGATATGGACATCAGGAAGAACTTTCTGACAGTAAGAGCTGCTCGACAGTGGAGCGGTCTCCCTCGCGAGGTTGTGGTCTCTCCTTCCTTGGAGGTTGGATGGCCATCTGTCATGGACGCTTTAGCTGAGATTTCTGCATTGCAGGGCGTTGGACTGGATGACCCTCGGGGTCCCTTCCAACTCTACAATTCTATGATTCTATGAAATGCAAGAAATAAATGTGGATTGGACTTTCCTTCCTTGAAATCTTGTTAGCTCATCCCAGCTGCTGCAATCACTTCGATGAACAAGAGAATTTGCCTTATAAAGTCAGACCATGGGTCCATTTAGCCCAGAATTGCCCACATCAACTGGCAGCAGCTCTCCAAGGTTTCAGCATGAAATCCTTTGCAGTCGTACTTGGAGACGTCGGAGAATGAACCTGGGACCTTCTGCCAAGCAAGATGGACTTTTCTCTGTACCTCAGGCAGATAAACACGAACCGAGACCTAAGTGAGGAGCGTCAAGTAACAAATCGCTTTACAAATGGAAATTCAAATCCAGAGTTCCTCGGAGGTTCTAGCTGCCATCACGAGAATATCGGGCCATTTATTCACACCTCTTGATCCCTCCAATGAATTAAATGTCTTGTTTGCGCTCTTCATTCAGGAAATCTATTTGCAACTCTCCATTCATTTATTCGGCAGCAGCTCTGCAAAAAAATCAATGGAGGTGGTCTAGAATAAGGAGAGGAGACTGTGGCCTTCTATTATCTTCATTCAATATTCGTTTGTTTTGAAATTGAACTGAGCATTTGTTTCAGCTGGCTAGCTGCATTTGATGAATCGGAGGAAAAAGAGACAGTTGAGAGGTTAGTAAAGTTGATCGCGTGATAGCGCAGCGCGTGTAGATAGGCAGCTATAATGATCGGTAGCTGTATACAGTATGAGCATACACAGTTTTTTTAAATATAGCTTTTAAAATCTTAATGGTTTGGCTGGGGGTCTTAAGCGTACAAACACGGCCCTGCACGTTGCTGGCTTTCAAGGAAGCCCCGTTCAAATCAACGGGGCTCTTTTATTTCATTTCTGAAACTTACAATTCTGTCCTTAGTCACAAAGCCCCAAGGCGGGTTACAACACTTGGTGCGCGCGTATATCATGCACCTACTTGGAGTGCAGAGAGAAGCGAAAGGCGTGTGTGTGGCCCTGCATCTCCAAATTATTCATCCAATATTATTTATTTATGATTTAAAGGTTTCAGCAGCTGCCTTTCTGCCGGAGCACGGAGCTCAGAGCAGTTCACTACGCCATGAAAAACACACACAATAAAACTGCTATTATAAGAACTACAAGCGATCAATAAGAAATGTTGCGATTCTGCAGCACGTGGCTCCCCACTCAGAAATATTCTACTTATTTCCCAGGAGGCATATCTGGGCTCATCTCTGCCCATTGAGGTGCGACTTAAACGTGAATGAAGCTGGGTCGATGGTGCTGCGTTACTGCTGCTAATAAATAATGTCGATTGGAAACATACACCGAGGCTCAAGACTTTAATTTGGATTAACTTTGTCTGGATGTGCCACCAGTGTTAGTCCCGTTTCCCCACTAAACTTAATGGTGTGGGGGGTGGGGGGTGTTCTTGGTTTGTTTTGTTCTTGTTTTTATTATGTATTTTGTGCTTTTATCTTGTAAACTGCCCTGAGATCTACAGATGAAAGGCGGTACGCAAATTTAATAAATAGTAATAGTAATTGTGTGTGTTTGGGTGTGTAATATGTGAGTGCATCTGTATCTATACAAAGCGTTACCAGACTGACCGCGCGGTCCTATGTCTACTTATTACTGCGGATACTTGATTATTTGCCGCAATCCTTTACCTCGCTACCTGGGAATTAGCTTGGTGCGCAAACTTATTTCCGAGCAAACACGCGTGAGGTTGCGCTGCAAGGCTGCTATCCTATGCACCCGGGCGTCAATCATCACCGTGGGAATTCCCAATAAACACACGCATCATATAGGATCGAGTTGCATTAGCTTTATTTTGTGACATACGCTTTGGAGGCCGAGAGCCTACGAAAGCTGGCGGCGCAGGAACAGCGCGATCCTGTAGTTACAGCGAGGCTCACGTCTAAGCAAGCATGCATACCACACCTCCTTTTTCCCCCTTCTTCTTTGGTTTGGCCGGATTCTGCCCTTTGCACAGCTTTCGCCGCCTCCCTGCCCCTAAGGCGACTTCACCTCCGCGATCTCAGCTGCGGCTGGTTCCCCGCAGACGATTGTTCTAGCCGGGGTCGAGGAGGAGACGAAGGGGCTGGCGCTCCTGTCCGCCGGCCCGCGATGGGAACGGAGGAAAGTTTCCACCACCGCCGGCAGTTTGAGCAAAAGATTTGGCTGCTGTGTGTATTAAAGGGATGCAAATATACCCTGCGCCTCCCCGCATTGTCCCCGGCTCAAGGTGAAAAGTTAAAGCATAAAAACAATGAGTGAATCTGCTGGGATTTAGAGGGGGAGCCGGGGGAAGCGGGGGCCGCCTGCCGCATCTTCAAAGAGCGACTTGTGTCTGCGCCGCGACGCGCGGCAGAATGCTCATATCAAAGTGGCCTGGCCCTATCTACACCGCAGAGGCTCTGCGATCTGGATCGGGCTTAGAAGGTGCCCGAAACCGGATCAGTTCATGGGGTTAACAAAATAAATCAGGCCAGAGCCGCAACGACCCACATTTTTCTCTCTCTTATTGGGAAGATTGAAAGTACCACCCTCCGTTCTTCATTCCCTCCCCCTCCGTGTGTGCAAATTGATGGACTTAAAGTTCGTCTTTTTCCTTCTCCGGTGTCTTGAGAAGGTCAGTTTCTGCTCGGGTTTCATTGTATATTGACAGACTGACCTTTGTTAGAATTATATTCTTTGGGACTTCTTCTGTAAAACAGCAGCAGCAGCAGCAACAGATCCATCTCTCCATAGAATAGTATTGAAATATATACAGTCAGATCAGCCTAGTTTAAAAGTAAAAAGCTTTGGGTTTTAAATGGTATGAAATTGACTAGCCATTGACTCTCCTACCTTTTCGCCCCAAGAACATCGATTGTCTTCCTCTTTCTTTTCTTTTCGTCCATTTGATCTAGCTGGCTCGAGACTCAATTGATCTTCTTTAAAAATTTGCCTTGGATTCGGATGCTTTAAAATATATATAAATAAAAGCCAGTCTTTTCACATCCTCAGTAATGGGCAGGTTCAGAGAGGCGGGAAGCCTATGGAAGGCACTGGTCAAATATAATCTCAATAGCATTGTACCAGGAAAAATCTATAGGACCAGCCCTCGGTAACTTTTAAGCAACAAATAAAATGAAATGAATAAAAACGTATAGTCTGTAAGGAGCCTCAATGTGTGTGTTTTTCTTCCGTGAGTGTAACCCGGGACTTTCCTAAATGTGTTCAGGTCCGCACCTTGATAAGGGAATCGGGGGCTTTCTTGCCACACGACAAAACCCTAAAGAAATTAAGATAATCCCTTGACATTCTGAATTCTCTTTTGGGGTCGTGTGACGCGTTGGCGTTTTGTGCCTGCCGCCTCCTTATCCGGGATTAGCCTGGCAATTGGTTATTAATGAGTAAACGGGCTTTAAAATGTTAAGGGAGCACTTAAAAGGGGGGGAAAAGTAGTTTCGAACCTATGAAGAGAGTCTGGCCAATCCGTCTTCTAGCCTAACGTCCCCACTTCCTAGGCTTTAACTTTCTCCCTTTAGACGAGGTTGAAATCTGCGTAACTGGGCCTGGAAACCTCTCTCTGTTTTGGCCAACACAGATCCTCTGTTTTCTTCCTTTGGAAGGCACTTCTCAGCGTTGCCAACTTCTTAGGCCTTTTCCAAGACCTCACATCAAAGAGAGGCGCATCATTTATTTATATTCTTGGGAGGCGCTCTTTTTCCAGACCTTCGGTGCGCTTCCACCTTCGCCCACCGCCCACCCGCCCCTTCGCTCCGCTCTCCCTTTTGCAAGTTCTTCGGATTCCCATTCTTTGAACCTGTGATTGGAGGTTAAAGTGCACCAGGTTGCAATGGGAGAAGGAAGCTCTTAAACAATAAAGGCCCGAATATGTCTCTGTGATCAGGTCGCTGCCCTTGCCTTATCTTTTTAAATGCAAATCTTCTTTGGGGGCTTGGAGCAGCTATATTACCCGGGTGCCTCCCTCCCTCCTTCCCTCCCTCTCTCCCCTCCCTCCCACTCCCTCTCCACGTCACCTGCCTTGGGTGCTGGGCCTGGCCTGGCCATTGCTCAGAGCGCCTTGTCAACATACAGCGCGGAGCCTCGTCCCGAGCGCGGCGAGCCTGGCCGGCCGATGGAGCCGGTGGCTCCCTGACCACCGCGCGTCGGCTGCACTCTCGGTTCCTCTGCGCCCACACGGAGGGCGCCTCGACCACGGGGTGGGCGCCGATCCTCGCAACGCACCGGGTCTCCCCCCAGGGAAGGGAGGCCAGGAGCCCATCGCCGGCGCCCTCGCAGCAGTATGTGGAGGAGAGCCCCTCGCCTCCGGCCACCATGTACGTGAGTTACCTGTTGGAGAAAGACGGCGCCTCCATGTACCCGGGCTCGGTGCGCCACGCCGGGGGGCTCAACTTGGCGGCGGCGCAGAACTTCGTGGGCGCCCCGCAGTACTCGGACTACGGCGCCTACCATGTGCCCGCCGGGATCGGGCTGGACAACGCGCAGTCCCCGGGATCGCCCTGGCCCGGCGCCTACGGGGCGCCTTTGCGCGATGACTGGAACGGCTACGGGCAGGGGGGCGTCCCTGGGGCGGCCGCCAACGCCGTGCACGGATCCTCCGGCGCGGCAGGGTTGGCCTACAGCCCCGTCGGGGACTACCACCCACACCCGCACCACCACCACCCTGCGCAGGGGCCGCCGGCGCCCCCCTGCGGAGTCCCCGCTTCCGGGGGGCTGATGCAGCCGCTCAACTCGCCGCCCGGCGCCGAGCACCTTTCTCCGGGCGGCCAGAGGCGGAACCCCTGCGACTGGATCAGGAAACCCACGGCAGGGGGACCCGGTAAGGAAGGAGAAGGGGCAGGGAGGGGCGGCTCGTTGGGTGTCCGGAGGAAGGGGCTGTGGGGCGCAGGCCTGGAGGAAGCCGGGTCACCTCATCACCTACAGGCGCAGCGGGCGGAAGTTGTTCAGTGGGGCTCAGGCGACGCAGCGGCACTCTGCACCAGCGCCGGGGAACGGTTGCCGTGGGAGGGGAAAGATGGAAGAGTTAAGAAAGCAAGGACTCTGGAAAGGATCGCAGCTGGTCTTGCTCGTTTCAAGGGTTAAGGTGACGCGCACACCTCGAGCAAATTGAGCCCGGTGCGGGGGTATTTGGTCGGGGACCGACGGCCTGGTGTGAGGATCTCTCTCGGACTGAAGCGAGACAGCCATCCTACGGAGCCTCCTTTTGGAAATATACATATATTCGGACTGGATCCAGGGTTGGCGTGCCTTGCAGGGATGGTGGAGCCGATCGCCAGCGCTGTGAGGCCGGAGGGTTGGGCCGTCCTGCGCGCGCCTGCTTCCTTTTAGTATCCAGTTCCCTCGTAAAGCCGAACCATTAAAACGAATGTCATAATCAATAGGCTTCCTGTGCTAGCCTAAGGCCGTGACAGTTTAAAAACGAATATTATTTCCTGCTAAGTTTGAAAGCCACGCGCTACTCCAGATTCCATATAAACTTTCTCGGAAATAAGTCCGCTGGCGTCAGTGGCGCTTTACGTGCTGGGAATACCTCGCCCTGTCAATTTACTAGACCTCTGCCTCCCCTTAAAAGGCACTTGCACGGAGGTAAAAGCTGTACGCCTTGCTTACACTGAGTAAATCCCAGTGAAAGCAGCGGGACTTCACTCCTGAGTTGACAAGGCCAGGATTGAGCCAGATTCGTGCATTAAATATTGAGGGAGGTAGTTCATTAATGGTGGGCAAAGGAACAAAGAGCGAGCCAGCACATTCTCTGGTTCGGATCTGAGTGTAAAAGGCGGCGGCAAATAAACGTAACAGGCTGCAAATCCACAAACTGCAATCCACAAAACTGAACTGCTTCTCTGAGACATCGTGACTCTCTGCAGTTCTTAAAACCAACGGGTGTTTTGCCCTTCAGGGTAGCATGAATCTCAGATCCACCCCGTCTGAATTGATATGCCCTACATTTGTGCCAGGATCCCAGCTCAGGATTTACACGGAAGTAAATCCTGTGGGAAGCAGGGGCACTTCCTTCCAAATGAAATTGCGCGTTCATGATCTCCTCTGCAACTGCGCTTCTCCAATGCCGTTTAAACTATTTAGCTTGGATGAACCGGGCTGTCACCAGAAAGGTTCTCAGACTCTCTCCAGCCTGGTCCACTTCCTCCGGGACTCATTCCTGCTGGGCTGGTGAGTTTCCAGACTGTACAAAACTACAGATCTGATTGGAGACAGGCATCTTTATCGCCCGAGCCAGTTAAACTGAAGCATGTGGGCACTAAAACTGCCATTCTAAACACACGAGACACACGCACACATTTCCTGGGAAATCCGTCCCGTTGCAAATTAATGGGACTTTCCCTTTCATGGAGCTTCTCAACCTGGCGAGGTCAAGCCCCATATATAAATCCAAGCACTACCGCCGAGCTGAAATTTGTGGCTGGCAGGAACTGTCCCCCTAAGGCCTTTCCAATCTGCAGGGGGGTTTCCCACCGACGTTTTCTTTCGGGAAAAGGGCCGTAGCTCCGTGGGAGATCACCTGCTTTGCATGCAGAATGTCCCGGGTTCGATCCCCGGCATGTCCCGTGTCTGAAACCCTGAAGAGCCTCTGCCAGTCAGTGTAGACAGCACTGAGCTAGATGCGACCAATGGTCTGACTCTGAATAAGGCAGATCCTATGCTCCTTTGTCGCTAATATAAATAATTTGGCTTCTGTAAGGGTTTTTCGAGCGCTCCACGCGCTCCGCCTATTGTACTAATGACATTCCTTACCGTAACTTTGATCGTAGGGTAGGCGAGGCCAGGATTACTTGATGCGGGAAGATCTGTGATTTTAGCTGTCGGTGGTCCCCGGACCGGTGTCTCCATCCAGCTTCGCAGAATAGGTAGCTATCTCCCCTCTCTCGTCGCTGGGTTTTTGTAAGGAAGGGATACTATGGCGAGGCGCAGAGCCCCGGAGACTTGAATGTGTTCCAGTTCTGTAGGCGGGCATGGATGAACGCGGAAGGCATGACCCAGGCAGAAATTAAAAGCTCGGGAACCCCTGAAAAGCTGCAATCCTAATAAACACACTTAATAGCGCAAATCACAGGCATGTTCACTCGGAAGTAAGTCCCCGCTGTGGGCAACGTCTATGAAGGATAGCAGCCTGGATAGGAAGCAAGTCCCATTGAATTCAGTGGGAGTTAAATCAGAGTGAATATGCTTCGGATTATAATGGTGGCGTGGGGATTTCCGTGGGGGATTGTTGCTGGAGAATCTAGCTCATGTGTGTGTGTAACAACAATAGCCGGCCACTGATGGCTGAGGCCGATGTGTGGACCTCTGTTCTTTACGCGTCAAGTTGCTGGCGTTAATTAGACAACCGAGAACACCCTTCCGGGAGCAAGGATCAAAGCCCAGGAGCAGGAGAGGCCTCGGCTGACGTTGCTTCTCTAGTGATATTTGAAGCCGGATGACCTGCTGACTGTGTGTGGTTCAGGGATCTGAGCGACGCATCGGCTGCTGCCCTGCGCAGGGGACGCGCGACCGTAGAAAGCAGGGAGTTTTCTGGGACTTCCCGCTTGGCGGCTCCGCAGAGAGTGGGGGAGCCTTGCTTTGGAAACTTTGGTGTATTTGCGAATTGGGGGGGGGGTAGTGATGTTGGTGGTATTGAAGAGCAAATATGCAACTCATTTTTTTAAAAAACAACCCTTGTTCCTTATTGTCAATATTTAAAAGAAAACCACTAAATTCGCATATACATTGTTACCGACAAGGGAAAGCGGTAACCCGCAGTGAAAGCACTCAAGAGGAGCGGTTGAAAATCATGTAATGTAACTTACTTGCAGTTGAATTTAAGTTTAGAATTGAAGCGTAAGGCGCATTATTTAAGGCCGTCTTGACGCACACGTTTTGGAATTCAGCCGGACTGGAATCGGTTTTAAAACCGTAATCCATCTACTAATCCGAAACAGAAGGCAGTTTCATGAAAATCCCCGGGGTTTACTCTTGAGTAATGCCTGTAGGATCCGGTTTCTATCCTAGGGCTGAGCTAGTAAATTATACAATTTCCATGAGCAGTGTTTTGAAGTCCATGATACAGTCATCCATTCATGATCCCGTGGATAAAATATTGAGAGTTTAGAAAGGGGTAGAATTATTCACACGTAAAAATAAAATGTATGTAGGGTCGGATTGTCAGAACGATACTGAACCTCTTATTTTAACCTAATGCTTTCTTGTTTTGCCTTGACCCTGAAAGATTTGCTTTAATGGAAACTGGTTGTATAATCCCAGAGGCCCTGGAAGTCTCCACGTTCTTGCAGTGCAAATGTAGGTCCTTTTGCTTCTAATGTTCTTCGGATGAGCTCACTAATTCTAGCGAAGGTTCAGTCTCAGGACAAAACATACTGGGAAGTGCAGACACGCGCAAGAAACCAGCCTCAACGACTGGAAAGTTCTCTTGAGCAAGACGCGTTAAAATGAATCCGAGTTTGGCAAGGCTTTGCGCTGCTGCTCCCACTGAGTTTTCAACTACGCTTGCGCAGGAGAACTTCCGGTGGTTGCTTTTTTAAAAAAATAAAAATAAAAAAATCAGGGTATTTGCAGCTTCAAAGACGCAGGCTCACACTGAATGACCCGGATCCACATTGGACTAAGAATTCAGAAGCAGTCTATAATTGTCACTGAGATGCAAGGGCTATTGCCTGTGTTGTACTCACTTCAGATTTTGGATGGGGGAATAATCGCCCATATGAAAAACAGATTCCTTGAGTAGCATGCTGGGAAGTTTTTGCCCAGCCTTCTTCCTGAACTGCTAGTTTTCTCCCGGCAGAGATTTGTTTTCTACAGATGAACATGCCACGATGGGGGACCCGCCCCCCTAGTCTGAAGCGGTACAGCCCAGACCCAAGTTTCGTGAGAACTGTTTTAGGACACAGCGTGGAGATGGAGAACTTTTGACTATTGCACTACAAGTCTAATAATCTCTGACCATTGGGCATGCTGGCTGGGGCTGATGGGAGCTGGAGTCCAACAGCATCGGGAGGGCCCCGTGGTATAAAATGTACATGAGCTTGTAGTGAAGAGATCGATTCCCCTGCTCCCTGCCAGAGGAAAGTGCGATCCAGTTTGTGCGAGGCTGCTTGGCTTCCTAACCTCTTAACTGAAGGGCAAAGGCATCGTTCTTGTACGCAAGAGGCTGATCTGAAGATCCCGTGGGATCAGCTTGATCTAGCACTTTTTCTGGATTGAGAAGAATAAGAGGCAACGGGTGTCCCCTGCGCTCCTCCGCGGCGACGCGCGCGTTGGCCTTGCTGCAGGTCCCTTTCCCGTCGTCCAGCTGATACCGAGCTTCATCCTTAAATCACTGGCCGGTGCGCGCGGTTGGTTGTGCATTGATTTCTGACTCACTGGGCAGTGCATACCTTTATATGCCCATCGCCGCTGGGCTGCTAATAATCCGTGCAGAGAGGAGTTGATCCGCGGCTGGGCAGCTCTTCCGTGCAGCCCTGTAGGGCAGCGACCAGGGCTTGGCCATCCACCCAGGGATATGCAATCCCTCTCCTTCCTTTCCTCAAGAATGATCTCCTCCTCCTTTCCAAAGCCTGTTCTGCATCGCTGGGGGGGGTGTCTTGGTGGCCTTCCCATTGCCTCTGACTGTACATACTCCAGAGTAAGCACATTTGAACACAATGGGAAGTAGCATCTCCTTGGTATGCAACCCCCCCTCCAGGTTCAGTGTCCCAAGGTTCAGAGAAAAAATCCTCTCTGAAACCCTGGAAAGTTGTATTGCTTGGTATTTACTCCAGAGTAAACATATCTAGGATCTGACTGTTTGCACCTCCTAATTTAGAGATGTGGAACCTGTGGCCCACTAGATGTTGGCTATGTTGGCTGGAGCTGATGGGAGTTGTGGTCCAACAACATCTGAAAGGTCCCCACCTTCTCCTCTGAGACCTAGGGAAGTGCTTGCCAGTACCATTAATTTTAATTCCCATAGGTTACCTCTATTAGTTTGTTGCTAACATCTGGTTGCAGCCTTACACACCTTACATGTGAGCAAGTCCCACTGAAACCAAACAGGATCCTATGTGTGCTTGACTCTCCCAATGAGAGCCAAGAAATTGCTCCTCTTTGACTGGACCATGCCTTGAAATGCACGGAGACTGCAACCCTACATCAAACTCAATGGGGCTTTCTTCTGAGTAGATATGCACAGGATCCTGCCATAAACAGATATCTCACCCCCAAGTGTGTTTGAGTGCAACTAGTTAGACCAGAATTCCAATACATTAGTGAGACCTGGTCAACATACACCTCAGCTCTGCCATGAACCCACTTTTTGCAATGTGGGAATGACTAATAACGCTCACATATAAGTACTGGCTGACTTTATATGCCTGCATTATTATCCCCATGAGAGAGAGAGAGAGAAGTGATGGGGGTGAATGGGAAACAGATTCGAGGTACTAGTGTTAATTCACAAGGCCCTAAACAACTCAGACCTTAGGGACCATCTGATTCCTTATGCTCCACCTCAGTCATCTGAGATGCTCAGATGGGACACTTCTGGTGGCTCCCTGTACCTCTGAGGTTGGGTTGGCCTTCACTACAGATTAAGCCAGGGCCTGTGGAACTCCCCACCAGTAGAGGTTTGCCAGAAACCATTCCACCCTTCTTTCAGAGCTGCTCTGAAAACTACATTGTTTTAGAAGGGCCTTTGCAGTATGAATGTTCTCTTAACCAGTTGGTATTTATTAAAGTTTCGTGGGTGCTTTTTGCTGGTTTCATTACTATATGTTCCATACCACCGTGATATTCTTTTAATGAAAGTGTAGATTGGAAATAATAAATAGGAATCGTGGCTGTAGCACGAGGTCCTGCATCTACAGTAGCCTTTGCAAGAGCAGACTGGTAATATGGTGCCTTGAGTGAGGATAAAATTCGTCACACATACCCTAAATATTTCTTATTTTCACAATAATTCCTTTTGGTACAGCTGCTTTTTACATGGATCTTCTCCGTAGGTACCATAGCTGTCAACTTTTCCCTTTTCTGGTGAGGAATCTTATTCGGAATAAGAGAATTTCCCTTAAAAAAAGGGAAATGTTGACAGCTATGGTAGATACCTATCTAAATATAGGTTATTCTTATTACGTATTTTGTGCTCTCTTGGCTAAAGGAACCACCCTAAATCTAGTGCTGGCCTTTGCCATTCTGAGGCCCTACAAGCAGATGCTGGGCTGGGGGTTGAGTGGAGTTAGAATCATAGAAAAGTAGAGCTGGAAGGGACCCCAAGGATCATCTAGTCCAACCCCCTGCAATCTCAGCTAAAGCATCCATCTCAGCTAAAGTTAGATAGGCCGAAACAGCTGGAGGGCACCAGCTTGGGGAAGGCTGATCCTACAACACACCCTTCACCATCCTTATTAAGAAGAAAGTCCCACTGAGATCAGCGCGACCTACTCTTGAGTGAGTGTCCTTAGGATAGCAACCTTAGAAGCAACCTCCGATGCTAATGCCCTAGGAAAAGGTCACAGAGGGCCAGAGGGTCCTGCAGGCTCCCGCTTCGTCTTACTTGTGATGCTAATATTGTTCCTCCCTTCTCTTTGGCAGACCCTCATCTGTCATGAGGAGGGGGCTTTAAACCTATCTTGCTTTGATATACACCTTCCTTGCTATTGTTCCCCCCTTTCCCCTTCCCTGCCCGCCCCTCACCGGAAAAGAAGAGAAAGGAGAGGGAGGTGGAACAGAAACTTTCGCAGTCAATATTGAAATCTGCCATTCCTCTCTCATTCTCTCTCTCTTTCCTGGGCGGGGGGAAGGGGGGGAACGTTGGTGGCTGTGGCAGCTGAGAGTGGGAACAGGCCCTTGGGTGGATTGCAAAATTCTCCGCAGTAGATCAACAGGGAAAATCTTTCTCCCGCCCATCCCATATCTTCACCCCAAGCAAACCGGTGGTTGATTTTCTGCAGTCCTCTCTAGGAGGCGTTATTATTTATGTGGCTCCCACGTGGTGATCACAGAATCTCTATCATTTCTTTATTTCCTAAAACGTATATGCATTTTGATTGTAAAAACCAGAACACAAAACAACCCCACTACAAAGTGGTTTACAAAAATAAAAATGGTAAGTCGAGGAAACAGTTAAAACCAGCTATTTAAAATGTTCAAAAAAAATACGATGTTTTAGCGATAAACTAAAAACCAGATTAAAACACATGTCAAAATTCAACAAACCTGGATGCCTAAACAAAAATGTTTTGAGCAGGCGCTGAAAAAAGGTACAGTGAAGCCGCCTGTCTGATGTCAATAGGCAGGAAGTCCCCAAAGGCGAGAGTGCTGTCACACTAATAACATTAATGTTAGTACAATACTAAACACTTTAAATGCACCTTTACATAATGCAATGCAAAATCGTCAGGCTGCAGTCTTTATCAGGTTTACCTGGGAGTAAGCCCCACCAAATGCAATAGGACTTAATTTGAGTAGACATGGATTGTACTGTTAGGGTGAAATTGGTGGACTACAGTTACTTAAGTCTTTTGGTTTCAATAGGTCTACTCTGCGTATAACTAACATTGGCAATCACCCTTAAAAATCCCAGAGAGAGAGAGAGAGAGATCACTTAAATACATAGACAGCAGTCCAGTTAGAAAGAAGCTTCTATTATTTTTCTCCTGTCTAGAGAGTCTGACAAAATATTTGCAAATGGTTAACTGACATGTCTTCATTCCGACACAATCCAGGGAAACTTTCCAGTGGATCAGGGCCATTATTTTCTCTACCCTAAGCTCTACCTAGTTCTTAAAGGCTGTTGTCCTTCCCTGCTCTTGCCCTGCTCCCAAGCAGACGAAGTTTCCCCCCAGTTGCGGGAAACGGCTGGTCTCTTAAATGTTTGGGGTGTCACTCACCAGGTGTTAAAAAAGCATAAGGACTTGGGGTTAAAAACAACAGCAACCCAAACAAATAAACAAAAAGTGGCAATTCTACCAGTTCATTCTGTCTTAAATCATTTGTCTTCCAAATCTCTCTCTCAGTTAGCGAGATCCTGGGATTCGCTGGGGAAAGTCACTGCAAGCAGTGACTTTTGTGTGAATATACTGTGTATCAGACTTCATAAATCTGTTGCTGCACAGATCTTCTGGACTCCCAGGTTGATGGAAGTTGTAATCCAGAAAATCTGGAGGGCACCAAGTTGGTGAAGGCTGATATATGATAATATGATATGATATATGATGATATATGATATGAGTGACTTCATCCGTGGAATAGTGTGGCTGGGTTTGCGCTCCAGTTTTGAACTGAGGTGCTGGGGTTCAGTCCCTTAAAAGCCTTAATTGGTCCTTGATTGATTTTACTCAACGTAGTTACATAGTTGCATTATTTTAACCTGGACAACAATTCTGTAAAGTTGTGGTTTGGATCTGGGTCTTCCATCTTATTAAAAAAACCCCATCAAACTTGAGATACCACAATAGCTCAGGCTGCTGTTATCAATAATGTGGAAAATGTGCATTGCATGTGCTCAGACCCTTTAAAAATGATTATTGCTTATAAATACAAAACAAAACCCCAAACTATATTTATAGGGTGCCTTTCAGGGTTGCCTTGAAATGCTTCTGCCATTTTAGGAGAACAGATTTCCTGACGCCAAGTCCAGCTCTGAATGGGCTTGTGGTTTTAAAAAGTTTTAAAGAAGAATGTCATTTTATCAAGAGTGGATTGTATTTGGTTTGAAAAATAGTCTGGAGGCAGAATTAAAGGGAATCAGACCTTGAAGTGCAGCAGGTGAGAGGCCACATACATTTTATAATTGGCTGTGTACAGGGGCGTAGCGTGGGTTGTCAGGACCCAGGGCAAGGCAAGTAATTTGCACCCCCTAACCCGTGGATTTGCGCCCCCTAACCCTAACTCCCAGATGTTGCGCCCGGTGCGGCCGGCCCCCCTGCACCCCCCACGCTACGCCACTGGCTGTGTAATTGATTGGTATTTGGAATGCTATTTGGTATTGATATAATATGGCATATATTGGACTTTTGTAATTGAAAATTAATTTTAAAAATTTGACAAAAGAAGAAGATCATTTTTTTGGCTTGGGAAAAGTGGTTGCCATATGTTTCTCTCCCTTTCCAACTTTGTTCAGATTCGGGGAAAGTGTAGGTGGCCCAACCTGCACGGCTGCTGTGAAAACAGGCTGATGGATCCATTGGCCTGATCCACCCGGCTCGGCATCTCCCTGCATTGGAGAAGAGTCATATTATAAACTCCCAGAGGCAGAGCTTGGACCTGCAGAACGCTCTAGCTTCTCTCCCCAGCATCTGGGAAAGAGCCTGAAACTGCTGCCAGCCAGTGTCCTCAGCACTGAGCTAGATGCAACAATGGTTTTTTTGGCCCAGTGGAAGACAGCCTCCTTTGTTCTGTTCTGCACGCCCCTTCCCTCCTCATCTGCTGTGTTTTTTGTTTTATTTTCAAAGGGAGGGGGCAATTTGGCTGAAACTGGGAAGACTAGGTCTTCTGCGTTTTATTAGGAGCCCCCTCCCTGCTTCCCACCCCCAGATGCATTTGAATTCAAGGGGCCCAACCTCTTCCGAACCCCTTTCTTCCTTTCCCGCAGTGGGGAGGGGAAGGGACCTGCCTGTCTCCATTCAAATGCGCCGCGCAGAGCGCGAGGGGAGAATGAAAGCGCCTGCCGCCCATTTGTTCCAGGCAACCCGCCTGTGCCTGCGATTCGGGGGCGTTCCGGAGGCTCCTCGCTTTGATAAGATCGCCTTGTAGCGCATTGTCGGCGCTCGTGTTCTCCATTGAGCGGCTCCAGGGAGCTCCCTCTGATCACCCTTGTCTTCATGGCGGGGAAGCTTTTGTCTGGGGGCTGCAGGGGCCGCGCCTTTCTGCCCCTTTTGTTTTTGTTTAGCCTCACCAAAGCCAGCCTGCCGGCCATTAAACACCTACAGGCAGGCAGAAGAAGCTCAGATCTCTCTATTTATTTGTGGTGCGGGTGGGGGTCTGTTTAAGAAGAGAACCAGTTAAACGAGAAGCGGGAGAAAAGACCAAAGGCCAGGCGCAAGCAGACGCGCTGGAGGGCTGCCTGGGAATCGCAGTGAATTTGGGAAGCGCAGTGAATTTGAAATTGTCATGGCGCAATTTATTCTCCTGGTTTGGCCAGCTGTCCTGGGAATAAATTCCCCAGGGAATGGGGCAGTCAGGGTTTTTTTAGGATGAGAAAAAATGTAGAAAAGTACTGGAATTGGCAAGTTCTTGCATTTACGTTTTATAACGAGATAAATAAACCTTCAAACGAGGGGAAATGGAAATTTAGGTAGAAGTCACTCCTTCTTACTCTGGCCCAAATGTGTTTGTGTATAGCTCTGCTTGAAAAAGCCCTGGCTTAAATGACTGTAGAGCTCCTACATTCGTCATAAAATTGACTTTGTGGATTGCCCCATTCCTATTGCCATCTCAGCACATGACTTGCAATAAGAAATACTGTACTGGTGTAAATTAAGCTTCCTTCCCAAGCAGGCTTTTGAATGCCTTCTGAGTAAAACCCACCTTATCGAATCATGGAATATTGTTTCTTGTGGTTTATCTCATTTACAACTGGCAGTGTTTAAATCAAAGCTTTCCAATCCCTTGAAACTGCAGGAGAAAAGAGCTGATCTCCCAGCCAGATAGTGCCTGCCTGGATATTTAAATCAATTCAATCCTTTTGCTGTGAATGGCACTGATGCCTCCATGTTTTTTGGAAAGAAGTCAGTTGTTTTACATGAACTTTTATTGATAAGCAAGAGTGCTTGTTGTGGAGCCACATAAATCACTTCATAATTACTAATAAACTCAGATCTCACCTTTCAATTATTTTTTTAAAAGGCACAGTTTAAACAACATGAAATTAAAATAGCATAATACAAATAACTACAGCTATAAAATAATAATAAAAATAGAACAGGAAAGAGTGTCATTTATAATCAATGCAAACTTAGGGCTTTTTTTAAAAACACACACACACACACACACACACACACACACACAGAACCAAATATAGGTGCCTTGGAAGGAAATTGTTGTGACTTAATTCCAAATTTTAAAAAGGCTCTCGTTGGAGAGAGATTTCAAAGGTGGAGTACCACCACCAAGAAGATTGTATTTCCTGGTTCCATCCACTTCATCTCTGATGAAGGCACCTGCAGAACACCCTTCCGTGATCATGACCTTCGCATATTGGCAGGTTGGTGTGGTGGCAGGAGGTCCTTCAAGGTCCTGGTGCCAAGTCACGAGTAGCTTGAAGCATCAATGCCAGCATTGTGAATTCTGCCCTGCAAATGAACTAGGGTCCAGTGCAGCTGTTCAAGAACTGGTGTGGTATATTCCTAATCGTCACTTAACAATCTTATACCACCCTTCATGTTACTAAGAAACTGATGGGTAGTGTACAATCAATGAAATATAAAATACAACATACATAAGATTCAAATGTCTGGGTAAGCATTTATGTCTTAGGCTGCAATCCTAGCCCCGCTTACCCGGGAGTAAGCCTCACTGAATTCAATGGGGCTTAACCTCTGTGTAGATATGATTTGGATTGCTCTGTTAGCCTAACACCAAAAAGGTTACAAAGTGGGTGCCTGGCAAGCCTTCATGGGGAAAGCATTCCATAAAGATTCCAGGTAGTTATCGTGCATCTCCATTGTTTCTGGACAACCTTCAAAGGCAGCCTCACCTACATTGAACTGCCACAGTCTAATCTAAAGGTTACCAGGGCACAGATAACCATGGCAAGGCAGCCTCTGCCAAAAAAGAGTCATATTTAATGGGGATTTGTATTTGACTGCTCATAGATAACAAAGTACGTGTATCTGAAGTTTTAATTTGTGGATTCCGTTTCAGAGGTCTTGCCTTCAAGGACCAGCCAGCTACTTTCTTTTCCAGGAAGCAGCTGCCTTGCAGTTTAAATACAAACAAACAAACAAACAAACAAACAAACAGCCTTTGCTTACCCAAAGGCTAGCCGAGAGCAGGGCAACACCGTTTCCAGAAGGGTGGTCATGCTAGTCATTTCCAGGAAAAACAACAACAGTCTTGTGGCTCCTTAAAATGTGAATAGATTTATTGTACTGTAGTGTGTTTGTGGAAATGACCATTTTGTGAACGTACTTATCTTTATAGGCACTTGATCTTTGCACTGAAATGTTGCAGACTATTATGCCTCTTGCATGTCATGACCTTTGGCCCCATTGTTTACATCTTTCGCCTCTGTACCTATGTATACACCTGCAAACTAAGGACAACACATCATATATCAGCTGTGTGAGAAATCCAAATGCTTCCTCCTTGGAGTGTCTGCAGATTTTATGTGTGTAAAATTTCCATTACTAGAGGTGTACACTCCTCCTCCACTACCCCATATCCAATTCAACTGTGACTCCCCCCACAATACCACAAAACTTTATCCTCCTATCTTAGTAGATAGCCCATGTCTAAAGAAGGAATAGTTTATGGGGAAATGTGATAGGTGAGATATGCAGTTTAATGAAAAAATAAACAGTATAGCACATTACTTCTTGATCAAGTAATGAATTATATATATTTTATAAATTGCACGCAATTTGTTGGTGGTGGTTTGTGTAAAAAGGCAATGAAGTAGCTCAGTTGGTGAGAGTGTGGTGCTGATAACACCAAGATCGCAGGTTCAATCCCCATACGGGGCAGCTGCCTATTCCTGCATTGCAGATGATCCTCAAGGTCGCTTCCAACTCTACAATTCTATGAAATATAATTCACTGGAAATAGGGCAAAACATGTATTTAACTCTCCCACCCACGTCTCTGAAATAAATGGGAATTAAAATGGCCAAACTTTAGTTTGGTTGTGACTTAAGACAGCACTGCTTAACAGAGAGTTGAGCATCAGACCTGGGAAAGGGGAGGCCGGAGTTTATACATATTTGTATAAGTGATGAAATGGTTGGGACTTGATTCCCAGGTTCTAAAAATGTTTATTATTGTGATATAAGTTAAGCACAATTTGAATGACTGATACTTTGATCTCCAATATTAAGTGATCTGTTTTGGGACAAAGGTAAACTGTTAACAAGCCTTTACCAAAAAAACACACGGTACCTAGGCTTGTTTTGATACTTCGTAAATGATCTAGTGAGACTGCACACATGAAATGAACGATGTTTGCCTGCAGCTTCAGTTCATTTCAAGGGGGTTTATGAGTGCAGGAGAATCTCCCACTGGATTGAACCACAGAGACAAGACCTAGCCAAACTCAAGCATGTTGAAAGTAAAATGAAAAATGAAGTATGTGCATTAAATACCTCCCACTAAAGTTTAAAGTGCCTGTTTATCTGGGTTGTGCATATCAGAGAGCTATTCTCCCAAACACATTTACTTGGAGAAGTGGCACTCCACTAGGTTTTACTCAAAAGTAGTAGAATGAACATGACTAAGTTTGTTCTATTAATTTTAATGGGTCTACCCTGAGTAACACTTAGTGCAATACCACCCATTAATTCTATTGAAGTTTTGGGACTCCATTCCAAGTAAGTAGAAGTTTGTAGAAGTCATAACAGGCCAAATTACAGAGTGCCAAATAATAATACAGATGCACAAATCAAGGTGCACCCCCCCCCAATGCATTGCTTTACGGTTGTGTTTTTGTGTGTGTTTGGCTTGGGGGCCATAAACCCAGCAGCTGCCTCCTTTTTACAAGCGTGCATTGTTTGAAAATCACTTCCTCTTGAAGCCAGACGTTTGAGGGCTTATAATTTAAACTAGCAGGAAGAAGAGGGATCCCTTCTAACCTGCTGTGTTTGGGGGATGGGGTGGAAATAAGCAACAGCTAAGTTTTGGAAAACGTAAAGGGCCCAGGGTTAGTGGAAGCCCTCCTGCATAAACATGCCAAGCAGGGATGTTTTGAAATGTTTTGTTTTGTTTTGCTTTGGTCAACTGTCTACAGAAGCCTCAGTTGCTAGAGACTAATGGGGATTTTTCACAGGGGCTAGCTTCTTGCTAAAGCCAAACATTCTCCAAATATACCGTCCAAAGAATGCGCCAAAGAAATGGTGCTGTAATCGCACTTCCTTTAACGGACATGCATCTCTCTCCTCAGTGAAAACCAGGACGAAAGACAAGTACCGCGTGGTCTACACAGATCACCAGCGGCTGGAGCTGGAGAAGGAGTTTCACTACAGCCGCTACATCACGATTCGGAGGAAAGCTGAACTGGCAGCCAATCTGGGATTGTCAGAGAGACAGGTGCGACTTTGGCTATTTCTTTGCTCTGTAAGATGTCCAAGGCCCCTGCAGCCTCCCAGAAAATCCTCTTTGGCATGGTGCTTTAGCTTCAGTCCATAAAAAAACCTATCAGTACAATCCATTAAGCAGTCAGGCCAAGGTCCTCCCAAGAATCATAGAACTGTAAAGTTGGAAGGGATCCCAGGGGTCATCTAGTCCAACCCTCTGCAATGCAGGAATCCATCCCTGGGTGGGCTTGAACCACCAACCTTCTGTTTAACAGCCAGATGCACTGACTCATTGTGCCACCTGCTCTCTTAAAAGCCTCATTTTTTTTTTAAAGTGTGTCAGCTAATGTCCTTCCAGGAACAAAGCATGGGACTTCCTGCACATGGTGTCTTTGGAAAACTGCCGTCTGTTGAATCAGACACTGGTCCACCTAAGTCATTAAGGGTGATACGGACTGGCAACAGCTCTCCAGGATTTTGAACAGGGGTGTTTTCCAGTCAGGGATTGAACCTGTGACCTCCTGCATGCAAAGGATGTGCTCTCCCATTAAGCTCTGGCCTTTCTGTCTAGAGAGGCATTATTCTATAGGTATATTTGCCAGCAAGCCAGGAGCTGGCTATGGCTGCTTATTGTGTATACGCTAAGTGGCAAAGCTGGATTCTGTAATGAACGAGAGAAATTGCTTGGCTCCAGGGAATTGTAAACCACAGCTTTCACTTTCATATGGGAGATATAAATCTAACTTTAAAATGTATCTTAAAAAAATATTTTGTGCTATACTTCTTTTTTGCTAAAATACTACTACTACTACTACTACTACTACTACTATCTTTATCCAAAGATCTCAGGGCAGTTTACAAGATAAAAATACAAGATAAAAGCACAACTAAATAGTTAGAACAAAAACAAAACAAAACAAAAAACCCTGCTCCCACAAACACATTCAAAAGCCCATAGAATATTAATCAGCTAAAGGCCTGATTGAAGAGGAACAAAACTTCCAACAAACTGCAGCTGTTTATACCCCTTCCTCCTGTAATGCTAACCCTAAAACTATTCAGTGCAGGAGCAGGGAACTTTTAGTCCTCCAGAATTTTTTGTAATACAACTCCCATCAAGGCTAGCTCAGGGTTTTTTCTTGCTCCAGAAAAGATGAAGCCATACAATACCCCAGGCCAGCTAAGTTATTTTAGCATCTGAAGCAAAGAAATCCCTTAAGTGCCTCTTGGAGAGCAAAATCATAGTAAATAAACTTAAGAATTTGCTTCCTTTTCCTGACACTTAAAATCTGCTGCCTGAGGCAGCTACCTCACTCTGTCTAATGGCAGGGGTGGTCCTAGTTCTCATCATCCCTTACCACTAACCATGTTGACTGGGGCTGATGGGGCTGCAGTCCCTCAGCAGCTGGAGGACCACAGGTTCCCCACCTCTGATTTAAAGCATGCATTTGATTTCAAAATGGCTTTCTCATCTGCATGAACTTAGAAATGCATGCATTTAGAAATGCGGGTTAAAAGGCATGTTTATGTGTCCCCTTTGAAAACATCCTTTCAAGTCCTTGTGCTGAAAGTGTTAGGTAGGTATGAGGCTGAGTTCTATGGCAGTGGAAGTGAGGGACATTCATTTACATGGCTATATCATCTCACTTCCAAGGAGCTCACAGCATTTGTACTAAGCTCTCCCACCTCCCATTTTTATCCTCATAATGACCCAATGAGGTTGTAACTGGTGGAGACTAGTGGGTTTTATGGCTGAATGGGGGTTTGAACAACTCACTACACTTCCAGTGCTGTAGTTTGTACAAAGATTCAATCCAGAGTCAACCAGCTCAAGTCAAAGGAAATCAACACTTCTGCTCCTTTGTAATCATAGGATTTCCCTGAATGTATCTATTTCCAAGAGAATGCCACAATCTAGGGCAAGCGTCCTGGTGCCACATTTTGGTCGGCAGACCACCCTGCAGAGACCACATCACAATGTTTCGTGAACAGTGTCAACTCCCCATGAATTTGATGGCAAGCCGTTCAATCCACTCCAATTAGATGTCATCTACACCCCCACCCCTTTTTAAAGCATCACTACCCTTTTAGTTCTGGCAGGTTATTTGTTGTTTAAACATTCAGCATGATAACAAAAAAAAGTTGTTATGTACGCATGGACTTGCTTTGCTGTGCAACGTAGCACTGTCACCCCAAAAGTCAACCACCAAAACAGGTACGGTATGTGGCTGAGCACTCATTCCATGCGAGCACTCATTGTGTGGCTTCACAATTTTATGCGGAGTGTGTTGGGAGTGTTGTGGGCTGCACTGAAGACTTTTGTATGAAAAGGTTCCAAGGTCTAATATCTGATAGACCTGATCAGGCCAAGGTGATTAAACACACACACACACACAGAGAGAGAGAGAGAGAGAGAGAGAGAATTGGATGCCTTTAATCAAAACTGCAAGCAAGGTTCCTGACTGGCCCATAACCTATTTATAATGCCAGATGTTGGCCATGGAATTTAAGAAGTCATTCAAGATAAAAGTGCCTTTCAGCATATGATATGCAGTGTTACTCTCACTCACTATACAAAACCCAGAGGTATCATCACTTTCTCCTTAGATGATATGATTTCTGGGCAAAACATAAAAATGAGGTAGGGGTGTGTGTGTGTAGAGATTATAGTTTGTAATTTTAAGCAGTATTAACCATTTTTCTTTTGCTTTTGAGTATTCTATTTTCACTGGTTGGGCTTTCTCCGGAGTGTATTGATACTTTATTGCAATGAGGCTTTATAAATATAGTAGGTAAATGCACAATGAGGGCAAGTCCCTTTGTCGTCGTTCCCCACCCCCCCTTTCTGGAGTCCATGGCTTGAGAATTGCACTTGCTTTTCATTCAAATAGTGATACACAGATTATTCACAATTTACATGCATTTAACTTGTGCACATTCAGCTTTATGCACTTGGCAAAAAACTCCAAAAAACATTAAAATTGGGGTGGGTGTCTGGGGAAAAAACTGTTTGCTAATCCCACCTGCATTTGAACCTAATGTGTTTTGACTACACACAATTTCGGCTTTAGGCGCTATCTCTTGAACATAATCCTTGGTGTTGTCTGTTGGCCAGGCATCAATCTCTGGAGGGACACAGGTTCCCCTTCCCTAGTTTTAAGAGATCTTCAGCACTACTTTGAAACAAGTGGCTACTGGCTCACCAAAGGAAGCCACTGGGCTTGGCTCCAGAAACATATGAAATATTGGATTAAAGTTTCAACACAATATGGCCAATCTAAAAGCGATGAGGGCCATTTCACTGCCTTTACTATTTCATTTCCCATTTCATGCAAGATGGGAGATGGGGAAAGCACCTCTGATGTGGAGTGTTTTTCCTGTGATCCTACAGAAGTGTGGAGAATCTATTGTGGTTACTCAGTGCTGAGAAGGTATGCTCTGTCTACTCTCACGAGGCATTCTGATCCTTAAGTCCAGAGTTTGAAATGACCTAGCTGCAGCACTGAGAACTTGCTTAAATCCCTTTGGTGTCCATGGAATCTTGGCACACCTGGACAGTGTTTTAGGTTTAAGGCGGAAATGACAACTCCATGTGTGCTCATATATCCAGTTCACATATTGGGTTATGAGGCTGCTTTGTATATATCAACATGCTCAGGAGGGAGAGTTTGTTTATTCCATTCCGATCCCCTTAAGAGACTTTCCAGGCAGCCTCCCTAACTGCAGTCTTTGCAGATATTACAAAAGTCACACACCTTCGTTCTCAAAGTCCAAGAGAGTTGTGTTTCTAACTTTTCTGAGTGCCACCCCTGTTCCGAGTGTCCTTGCGTTTCCTGGAAATGCATTAGTTCTGAGTCAGGTTCCCATGTGCATAATGGCTATTCTTTTCTTCTATCACTTATATAAGGGCTGGTGTTTTGATGATGGCTGCATTGATTTCTAGAGTCCCTGTTTGGCCATGAAAGCCGTAAGAAATCAGCTGAGCTCTAATGTACCATATCCGTTTGCTACTGTGGTTGTATTTTGGATATAAACCTGGGATTTATTTCCCATTCCCACTCTTCCTGTTTTGAGCTTGCCATTAGTTTCCCACTCCAAATATATATACCCTTAAAATGGGGTGAGGGAAACCCAGCTTAACCACTTTGAAAAAATAGTCCCCATGAGCAAACCATTCTAAATTGAAACTAATGTTCAGCATGCCCAAACAATTTCCAGTCCTAAATATAGATATGCCTCATCCTGTCCCCTTAGTAAGCTTCCTAAGGTAATGAGTAATGAGAAATGTAAATGGAAGGCTTATTATAATCCCCCATAATTGAATAAAGGATGTTTCTTATGCAGGTAGTGTTGACATGTCTCCTAATTTAGAGAGGACAGTCCCTTGTCTGAAAGGCTGCCTTGTTCTAGTCTGATTTGAAAATAGAGAACTACAAGAATGAAATTACCCATAAACATTATTATTTCTTAAATTTCTATATTGCCCTTCATCTGAAGATCACAGGGCTATTTACAACATCAAAACACAAGAATACATAGCATTTTTCTTTCAACAGGCTATTATATCCCAAATGCTTTGGTTGACAAGAAGATCAATACAGTCATTGGTAGCCCTAAGAAAGTGTCAGCAAATCCTTACAGGACAGAAACCTCTGTAAAAATTAAATAAAAAATATTATATGTGTAATGCCAGCAGAAAAAATATATATGTAAAATGTAACCATATAGCACAATACAGATCTTATACTTGGAACTGGGGTCACTAATGTGGGAATGTTCAGGGAGGCAGGAGAGGATATGTTGTTTATTAATATCCTTCCTAACTTGCACTAGCAAGTTCTATAATTTAGCAGAGTTTTACATTCCCCTTTTAAAAGCACAGCAGATAGTTGGTTGCAGGCTTATTTAAGCCTCTCAGTATTAGATTCCTGGTAAGTTCCCTTATATCCCTCTTAAAAGAATAAACATACCACAATCTTGAGCAAAGTGTGTTAAAGTAGTTTACTCACTCATTCAGTTCACAGTTGGATCTCTGAAGGCAGACTTAGTTACAAAGTTACATGTGGAGCTATCCCATATGAAGATAGTTCCAATGTCTCTAGCTAAAAAGCTGCTGCTCCAACAAATGGAGGAAGTCAAAGAGAGAGAGTGGCAGCATGCCTTGTCCTTTTGGTTACCTGGACAGGTAAGGTCATGCCTACCTCTAGTCACATGCAAAAGGAAGTATGTCCCAACCAGGAGGACACAGGAAGTTTTCGACTGGCTGGACCAAACATACCCTCGCATGTCCACTCTAGGAAAACAAGGAATGTTGTACTTGACTGCTACTTATGTATCACATCCCACAACTAACATACTTTGGGGCACCTTAGGTCTTCCTCACTATGGGGAAAGGTGAACATATAGACAATACTGAACCAGACAGACCAAAATTCTGACTCAGAATAAGGCAACTCCCTGTGTTCACGTGACAAGGCTCTTTTCTACAGGGCTGACTCTTGAAGTGGGAAGGAGGTGTGTCACAGGCCTCCCTTACATTGAATGAAGTCATCTAGAGACATAGGCAATTTCCTGTGCTGAACATACACTCTCTGCTTTTGATACCCGCCAAATATAGGCATTGACTTGCAACAGATTTTGGAATTCTGCTTCTGATATTATATTTTAACACCTGGTAACAATGTCATCATATTTTATTAGCTTTTCAACAGCTGTTGTTGAAGAACATGTCAAAGAAATAATATTGCCCTGGTTTGCTTGAAATTTTAACTCTGGAGGCTCACACATTAGTTTATAAACATGGAGCACAATTCAGTCCAAGTGAATTAGACTTGACTTTGTTTGATTTCCATGGAAAATTAAGAACATGCTTAAGTTTATGTACATATGTATCTAAAAACAAGGGTGTGTACACTTTTCAGTCCAGTGAATTGAGCCTCCCATTCATTCCCCCCCCCCCACAATTAATGTTTACCCACTGACTACATTAAAAAATTTTAAATTTTGGGGGGTATTGGTGGACCACTTAATGTTTTTTCTAACTGTGGTAGCAATTGTAATGCCCTGTGCTAGATGCTGTATGATTTTTAATTGTATTTTTTATTGCTTCTTTTATTTCTTATCTATGCCTTTAGTATTAGTGTTGTTACTGTTATCTCCATTTTGATTAATTTACCACTGGCCTTCTAAACCATTATCTCAAGGTGATTTACATATAATTAATAACAATTAAAGGCACAACAATAACAAATAGATTTAAAACAAGACTTAAAACCCTAATAAGTAGACACTCATGGTAAAGACTCATTTATCCAGCTGAGAAGTACCTCAGAACAAAAATGTCTTTAATTACCGTATTTCCAGAATGTGCACCTAGTGAGCATCTGTCGTATTTCAACAGGAATGCTACTCCACAGAATTGAAAAAGTGATACAACATAAGAAATAAAAGAAGCAGTTAAAATTCAGTTTAAAAGCAGTTTAAGCATTTAATGCAAATAGTGTGCTATTTCTTATCTTCAACCACAAATCCACAGACATGCTGCAGACCACCTGAATGAAGTTTGCAGATTACTGATGGTCCCCTGATCACAGACTGGGAGCACTTGGCCTAAAACCTCTAACAGTGGGTTAGTCGTCATGTCTACCCCTCTGTTGTGCTTCAGATTGATCATGTGCTGTCATTTCATATTTTTAAAAGTGCCCTCATTTATGTGACTAGAAGTTCACTGGGTGCTTTTTTGGAAAACATATTTATTGACTGTAAACCTCAATCTTTTTTTTTATTTTAAGTTGCAAAACTGCTCTGGGAGAAGGTGGGAGTAGGACCACACCCATCAGCCAGTGTGCTCTGTGAGTAACTGGCTCCTTCTTCCACCCTACAGAACCAGTTTCTCCTGAGCCCAGTCTTCCTTTAGCCTGCTTGGACTTAATGCCTGAGAAATGTGGGTGTGGCTAGCCCAAAAATGACCTGGCCTGGGGAACCTAATTAGGCCTGTGGCAGGCATCAAACTAGGATGAGTGTGATTCCAGAGTGCAGACACTAAAGTGTTTTAGGTATGTCCGAATGCACTCTTTAACACCCTTCCACTGAATTAAAGGGGCTCAGAAGTGTATCACCCGACTATAATTTTACATTTTGGTGTGAAGAAAAAGAAATACTCCTAATTTAATAATTCAGGATCCTATCAGTTCTGCTAAGAAGATGCAAACTTAACAATATGGAAATTATGTTCCATCCCCATGACAATACAAGTTTGTTTGCTCCCTCCTTCCCCCTGAAAAACATGTTATCTTTCTGCTTTGAAAAGGAGAGCTTAGATTCTCAGGAATTTATGAGGAGCCCACCCTCTTTCTACACATTCTCCACTCCCTGTCCTTTTCTGCAGGATAGGAAGATTTTTTGCTCAATCAGCCCAATACTCTGAATCTTTTCTTGAAGTAAGTCCCACTGTATTTGTGGACCTCCTTCACAGGTAAGCATGTACAGGAATGCAGTCTTAGCTGTAGCCCATCCATAAAGTACCTTCTTAGTACACATTGAGGAAACACGTAATGCAGAAGGACCATAGCTCTGGGGTAGAGGATCTTCCTTGTGAGCGGAAGTTCCCAGGTTCAGTTCTCCAGCATCTTCAAGTGGTATAATGGGAGAGCCATTCTCATGGGTCTATAGCACTAAGTTGCTGGAACTTATTTTGTCTTCCTCTTCCCCCAGGTGAAAATCTGGTTTCAGAACAGGCGGGCAAAGGAGAGGAAGATCAACAAGAAGAAGTTGCAACAGTCTCAGCCAGGGGGTGTGCACAGTGGATCAGAACCCATGAGCCCAGTGTCCTCCATGCAGCCAGGGACGACCGGCTCCGGCCCCAATGGAGGAGTGTTGAGTGCTCCCGGTTTAGTACCAGCCACTGCACAGTGACAGCCGCTGGGGAGAAAAGACTGAGCAGCTGGATACGTCCTGCTCCCCTTTGTTGAAGGGGAGGCACACATGCACACCAGCCCCTGGTGGGGAAAGGCCACTGGTCCATTGGTGAAATCGATACGGGGACACTGTGGCTCTGCGTCCCACCTGGACATCTATACACAGCACCACACCCCAGCTTCTGGTTTCCTGCGCATTTGTACAAAATGTACTGTGATCAACCCACATTGTGCGGCAACAGGGGAGGGGAGGAGATATGATTCCCCCCACCCCCATAATTTACTTCACTTTGTTTCCACGCTTGTGGTAGGTGCCACGCAACTGACACTCCTCTTTGCAAATGAAAAACACTGCTATCTCAGGGAACTGGGCCTGGAATGCCTTTTGTTGTTGTTGTTTGTTTGTTTGTTTGTTCTTGTCATTCCTGTTTTTTTTTATTACCAATGTTGTTGAGCAAATGATAAATATTAGCGGGCGAAAGAAAATGGGGGGGAGGGGGTTAAAGCATTTTTCACTTTGTTTTCCTGGTACTCTAGATATATCAAAAGGAGCACTGTTTTACATGACAGCTAGCGGAGGAAGATTGAGATAAGCAGCAGCTGAAATGCTCCAAAGAAATGCCTTGATACAAATTGCTTGCACAAGAGATCGCAAAGTTGGCGCTGAAGGCCATCTCTTCAGATTTATGCATCTCTGTGGCATTGCAAACTGGAAACAAGCAAATCCATTTTTATCAGGAGGTGGTACTCAAGCAGCAAATGCTTTGAAAAGACAGGGTTTACATTTGCAGAAAACTTGTATGAGGCACTCAGGACCACAGTTAGCGGTACAGCATCTGCACTGCATGGAGAACATCCCAAGTTCACTTCCCGGCTCCTACAACTATATTGTACCCTGCAATGGATTTCAATTGTAAATTATTTGGGGGCCAACCTGGAGTAAGAGGCATGCTTAAATTAAACAGTGGTACCTCCTGCCAACCTAGCAGTTCGAAAGCACATCAAAGTGCAAGTAGATCAATAGGTACCGCTCCGGCGGGAAAGTAAACGGTGTTTCTGTGTGCTGCTCTGGTTTGCCAGAAGTGGCTTAATCATGCTGGCCACATGACCCGGAAGCTGTACGCCGGCTCCCTCGGCCAATAAAGCGAGATGAGCGCCACAATCCCAGAGTCGTTTGCGACTGGACTTAACTGTCAGGGGTCCCTTTACCTTTACCTTGGGTTAAGAACTTAATTCGTTCCGGAGGTCCGTTCTTAACCTGAAACTGTTCTTAACCTGAAGCACCACTTTAGCTAATGGGGCCTCCCGCTGCCGCTGCGCAGCCGCTGCACAATTTCTGTTCTCAACCTGAAGCAAAGTTCTTAACCTGAGGTACTATTTCTGGGTTAGCGGCGTCTGTAACCTGAACCATCTGTAACCTGAAGCGTCTGTAACCCGAGGTACCACTGTACTGGGACTGCAATATGTCTTGAATTTCCTGGACATAGCCAGGATTCGGCAGTCAAAAATGTCCAGGACAACCTTGACGTATGGCAGTCCATGTCGGAAGTGACAAATTTCCTTAAAAATAGCTCCGAAACTTCTTCTTGAGATTTTGCAAAAGAAGCTCAACAACTTTTGTGTCCGGATTTTCACTTTTTGAAATATGGCAACCCTAAATTATACAACACTGGGTGACAGGAAAATAATTATCTGGGATATTGTATCTATGATTGATTCATTTACATGTGCAAGTCATAACTCAATGCTACAGTTATCATGTGAGAAGCATCCATGGGGAATCCAAGCCTAAATTTGTACTGATTTCACTGGATCTATTTGGAACAAGGTTGTTTTTTAAAAAATGGAGATTATGAGATTACCAAATTGGTCCCCAAGATTCCAGGTAATATCCAAGGGGTTTTTTTTTGTTTTTGTTTTTAAAATAAAAATAAAAGAATACTGTGTATAGTTCTGGTCACTCACCACACATCAAAAAGGTTATTGTAGAGCTAGGAAAAGTGCAGAAAAGAGAAAGCAGAATTACTGGGGGCTGGAAAAACTCGTGAAGGGGCAAAGTTATCGAGGCTTTTTAGTTTCAAAAAAATGTGAGGTGGGGGATGGTCATGACAGGTTTATAAACCATGCATGCTGTGGAGAACACGGAGAGAGATATTTCTCTCCCTCTCCCATAACACTAGAATTTGGGGAAATTCAATGAAGCTGAACACTGGAAGATTCAGGAGAAAAGAAAGTACATCTCAACACTGTGCATAGTTAACAGGATGTTGCGATAGCCACCAGCTTGAATGACTTTAAACAGGGATTAGACAAATTAATGGAGGATAAAGCTATCAGTGGTCACTAGTCGTGATGTTTACGTATATTACCTCCAGTCTAAGAGGCAGGATGACTCTTAACACCAGTTGCTGGCGAACACGAGCTTAGTTCTGCTTGCCAGCTTCCTATAGTCATCTAGTTGGCCATTGTAAGGGGGGAAATGTTGGCCTACATGGACTACTGATTTAGTAGGGTGCTTATGTTCAAGTTCAGTTTGTATTTTTCCACATTTGTACCCCCTACATGCTCAAAGGAGCACTTGATTTCACCACTTGCAGTTATGTGCCATTCCACTGTCAGAACGATCCTGTGAAGCCGTCTTAGACTGATCATGACTGGTCAGAGCCCAGCAAGGTTTTGAACCCAGGCTCTTCATCACATGGTTAGTTCTTCCAAATTAAGAAACTGGCATGCTCCTTAATTAACTTTGTTAACCAAGTGGTATATGAATAGCATAAATAAAATAAATACCTCTGGTTAAATTGATCCGATTAAAAAAAACACTTTATATGTTTTCATAGTATCACAGAGGATGTGCTATGTGACTTAAACCCAGTTATCTGTAGTTGCCCAGTAAGCAGGATCTGCCTAGTAAGTAATCTATACCAGTTCAGCACTGGAGTAAAAAGGAGCAAGAAAATACTGCCTCTAGGCAGGTGCAGAGTGCCACGTTTTCCCTACTGAGTTTCATCCGAGTCCTGGAAGCAAACGACTGTAATAAGATTAACATCTTCCCCACACCCACCGTCTGACATGCTGAAATCCAACAGGTGCAACTTCCCCCATTACTACCAGAGGCCAAACCTTCACCTGTTGAATTTCTGTCCCTTTCGAAGGAGACCTGTGGCAGAGAAGCGGGGGAGGAAGGGCCATAATATAGGATGGAAAAACAAACCCCATTTGTTTCTCCCAGGCAAGCTGGAGCCCCGGCACCTCTTTAAAAAGGGATTAATAACCGCCTAATAGCGGTGCAGGGCGCCAAGGGCAGGCGCAGCTGAAGCTGGCCTGCTCGGCAGCTCTGGAAGCCGCCGCAGCCACACCCGGAGCCTGGCCAGGCAAGGCAGGCAGGCAGGCGACGGAGGAAGTCTCGTGTGCCCCCGTTGCTATGGAACGCAGGTCAATAAAGCGTGTTTGGATTGTGGAGCGAAGCGCAAGGTCTGTTTGCTTAGTGGTTAGAGGTGCAAAAGTCGGCATTGTCCCACTGGCAGCGGGGCTCGCGGGGGGAGGGCGAGGCAGGAGGCTCCGAAGCCGGAGCACGAGGGCACCCCGGCCGCCGCCACCCGCGCTTCCCGCCCCGCAGCCGGAGAGCAAGCGCAGGCGCAAGAACTTCTGGAAGACCGCAGCCAGCGCGCTCTGGAGCTCGGAGGAAGCAGGCCGCGAAGAGCGCAAAATCGGCCCAGGGCGCGAAAAGGCTTCTGGGACATAACTTGACCTGGAATTTTCCTGTTTAATTTCATACCAATCCGCAGCAGCGTTGCTTGCTGAGCACCTTATTGTTATGGTTATTATCAGTGCTCCCCCCCCCAAAAAAATGTTTGGGGGTACTCTCATTTAGACTCAAGAAAATCACCGTTTTATAGTTCAAATCGGGAAAAATAAACACAGTACAGTACTTTTGTCAATACAGTAAATTGACAAAAGTACAAAGATTCACAAAATGTTTAGGGTATGCGTGCCCCTGCATACCCCCGGAAAAAAGCACTGGTTATCGTTATTCTTAGAGGGAAAGTGAAACACCCTTTCAGAGTTTCCAAGGCGGGAGAGAGCTCACACCAAGGCCCTTTAGCTCCCCAGATGCCTCCTGCCTTTCAGGATGAGGGCCTAAGAATCTCAGAACTACAGAGTTGGAAGCGACCCTGAGGTTCATCAGTAATGTGATTTAAGGCAAACTGGGTTACGAAGCAAAGCTGCAATCCGAGGTACACTTAAAGCCAGGGAACAAGATCTGCCGGACTCCTTTGGACTTCCTTCCTAAGTAAACAGGCATAGGATTGGTCTGGAAACGATCGATCGAAAGCAAGCAGTTTCATTAAAGCTCCAGGTGCGGCATGATCTAAGCTTGTTTACTCAGAAATATATGCCCGGCTGTGAGTCCCATGGGCCTTACTCCAGAGTAAGGACAGGTGCATAGGATTATGGCTTTATCGTCCTGCTTAGGCGTGTTTGAACATGTGGGACTTCAGTTTTGAACCGACAGCCATTAGGGTGGCTACTTAAGCATGGCCAGAAAAGGAGGCAATGCATCATAAAAAGATGCCTGTTTGCATATAATTTGCACATGCTAATTTGTAGAGGGAGATACAGATTCAGGAATAAGGACTAAAATGTAAGTAGACATGAACAGGTGCTAACTCCAAGGCTTCTGATGTCCAGTTTTATGGATTTTTATATTTTAACTGGACATGGACAGGAAAGCCCTTCAAACGAGAGGACTGTCCTCTGCAAAGGAAGACACATGGCCAGCCTAATAGGCATCCATTGAGAGCCATACGAGAAGGGCGGATTGTGCATCTGTCCAGAAGTTGCTTATTGCACAAGGAATGTGCAGGTGTTGTGACAAATCAGAGCTTCTTTGTGCAAGCTCCCTTTTGAGTTGTTGCTAGGGTTCATATGATACTTCTCCATCCCCTCTAGATAGTGTCACTTTAGTGCTATTTTGAGTACTAACAGATTTGGGGTATACGTATGTGCTTTCTCTGTTTCCAAGATCCCTGTTTCCATTCCTGGCCTTTTTGTGTCACCTGGGAACCAATGTGCTTTATGGTCCACTGTTTCATAGTTATAACCCCAGAGCTGTACACATTCATTCCAGACTAGGCAAATGGGGATGTAGTTTCTCCTACAAGATGAACAGGAAGAAATGCCTCACTCCTGAACTTTCATGGAATCGCCAACTTTTATTTTTTACCCAGTCCTTGCTCTTGTATCTTTTGCAGCGGGTGATCTGTAGACATTAGATGAAAATATTTGTCTCCATGCTGCAAAATTATCTAACTGCTGATTTATTTTTTTAAATGTACATACCGGTTTTTATCAGTACATGTTTTGATAACCAGTATTTTAACAAAACAATCAGCATGTAAGCAATACGCCAGCAGATTGAAATCCCTCTCCCACCAGCCCATTTCGTCTCCATCAATAAATACCTTTCCACCCTCCGACTTAACCCATTTCTATGGCTCTCCCCATGCCAGGATACATAATTATATATTTAATTTATTTAAAGGTGTTTTAAAACAGCTTACATAATTAAATGTCTCTAAGCAGTATACAAAAGCTCAATATAAAGAAATAAAGGAGCAGTATCAAAAAAGTAGACACAATCGGTGAAACAGTATACAGTGGTACCTCGGGTTACATATGCTTCAGGTTGCATACGCTTTAGGTTACAGACTCCGCTAACCCAGAAATAGTACCTCGGGTTAAGAACTTTGCTTCAGGATGAGAACAGAAATCGTGCTCCAGGGGTGTGACGGCAGCAGGAGGCCCCATTAGCTAAAGTGGTGCTTCAGGTTAAGAACAGTTTCAAGTTAAGAACAGACCTCCGGAACGAATTAAGTACTTAACCCGAGGTACCACTGTAATAATGGAAAAGAAACCAAATTATAGAAGAGCGAGAGTTTCTGGCTGACATGAAAAGAGCAGCCTGATGTGCAAATATTAGCAAATATATTTGTCTTGAAGCTGTGAAAAGCTCAGTCTCCTGGCTTCTGCGCAGTAAATTGCTGTTAAAGGCACAGCAGGCCTGGTTCCTTTCTGGTCATTTAGTTCTTCCTGTAGAACACCCAGAAACCCAAATATAAAGTCTCGCAAACAGAACCAAAGACGTGGAACGAGCAGCTCCCGAGAAAACAAGTGGGTGGTTTTTCCTGTTCAAAGACAACATGCGGGACTGATAACATTCCTTTGTGAATGCCAACAGTCCCCACATTGTAGATGTTCGGTGTAAGAGACAGGTGACAACACCAATGTTTATATGAAAATATGCAAGGATGGTGTGGAGAAAGCAGAGAAAAGTTTTTCTTCCTCTCTCATAACGCTACGATTCATGGATGTCCAATGAAGCTGAATGATTCAGGACGAAAGAAAGTACTTTTTCATGCAGTTCACAGTTAAACTCTGGAACTGTCTGCCACAGGAGGCAGTGCTGTCCACCAACCTAGATGGCTTTAAAAGAGGATTAGACAAATTCACAGAGAGGGCTGTTGATGACTGTTAAGCATGATGGCAAAGCTCTACATTTGGAGGCAGCAATGGTTCTGAATACCAGTTGCTGGAAACTGCAGAAAGGGAGAGTGCTCTTGTACTTGAATCCTGCTTGCTGGTTTCCCATCTGGCTGGCCACTGTGAGAACAGGATGCTGGACTAGATGGGCCACTGGCCTCATCCATTATGTTCTTAATGTGAGAATAATAATGCCATGCATTTTATTTACTTTTGAAATATTGTATCACTTAATCTAATAAAGATCTCCAAGAAGTTTGCATAGGGAATAATAAAAGTACAAACAATAACATTCAATGAGATTCCAAAGAACTAAGTAAAAACAGAACAAAATTATATACACAGATAAACCTGAGCAGTGTACAAAGCAAAAAATCAAAATTACGAATCACAGTGCAGAAAAGCCTGGGTAAACATGTTTTTAAGGAGCCCGTTACAAGGTACTAACAGCTAAATCCTGTATGTTTCTACTCAGGAGTAAGGTCTATTGAGTTCAGTGGGGCATATTCTCAGGTGCAAAATATTGGGCCCGGGTATTGTTTAGGGTTTTTTTTCTGTTGCTTTTTTTTTGGTATGTTATGTGGAAATTGTTTGGTTTGGTTGTGTACTTTGTAACATTTATTGTTTATGAGTACTTTGGTAGGGTTTGTAGTTGTGCAATTTTTTTAATATGTTGTAAGCCGCCTTCAGCATGGTTTTAACTTTAAAAAGGTGTCATGCAAATAAAATGATTAATTGATTGATTATACATTTGCATCCTCATTATGTGGATTCATTGAAAAAGTTGATAGAACTCTTTATGAAATGCACTCCTTATGAGCTGAAAACGTTCCTAAGTAACACATTAGCACTTTGACAGCAACAAATGCATAGAGCACTGGTGTTCACACTTCCAAAGCCACACAGTTCTTGTGGAGACCCTGCCTCTGTGTGTGTCCAGAAGAAGGCCTCACCTCCCTGCCCTTTAATCTTGCTCTGGATGGTTATCCATTACAGATAATTCCTAATCCTATCTGCAATGGAAGTGACCCATCCATTCAATTCTTCTTAATTAACAGAAGTGACTTCCCCTTCTTCAGAAGTGCCCTTCTTCCTCCAGCTGGCCATTTACAATCTATTGACCCCTAGTACTGGAAACAATTAGTGTCACAGCATATATATATCATCGGGCACAATTAGCACACTCTCGGAGCTCCTTTACCCCAATGCAAAAAAGCAGGCTCAACAACAAGCAAGCACCCAATCACTTAACAGACCTGGCTGCAGGAGGGCAGGAGGAAGCAACATCGAAGGGGGGAAAGGTCAGGCAATCGGAGCGGGAACACACGGCAGCAGCAGCAAACATGCTTAGCATACAAAACCCAAGGGCCTCGTTCCCTGGGAGCATCCTAGGCTCCTTTGTCATCCTCCAGGTGCTCTTTGATGTCAGAGGCCATTGTGAGCTCTTCTGGTCCTTGCCTTTGGGCTGGGCCTTCTTCCTTTTCCTTTGCCTCTCCTGACTTCAAAGGGGAAGCACTGGTCCAGGCTTCTCTGGACATTTGGTTTTGTTTGAAGGCTGGAATTTGGAAAAGAATGGGCTCAGGGTAGCTTTGCTTTAAAGAGCAGTGCTCCACTCTGCTTCCTGTTCCCTCGGAAGAGGGCTCAGATGCTCTCTCACACAGCTATGGGACACTCCCCTGCCACCCCCCTCCGTCCATATTGTGGGTTTTCAGCCTATAAAAAACACTGGTTCATCTCCCATCTGCAGGGCTATGCTTATTGCACAGTCCAAGACATGGTCCAAAACTGTGCTTATTGCACTGTCCAAGACATGGGTGTCAGGCTGAGGTTAGGTTGACCCAACATCATACTTGCTTGCTGACAATGATGATGAGAAGGGCCGTAGCCAATTTGCCTTGCATGCAGAAGGTTGCAAGCTACAGTTCCCAGTATTTCTAGGTAAGGCTGGGACAAACCACTTCCAGAAACCCTGGGGAGCTGCTTCTAGTCAGGCCATACTGAGCAAGATGGGCCAGTGGTCTGACTCAGTATAAGGCAGGTTTCCTAATTTCCCATTTGAAATTAACTCCTCTTTTCACAATAAATGGCAGTGCTGGGAGCTGCTGTAACATTGGAAGATATGAGTCATGGGGAGGGATCATAGTGCAGTGGCAGAGTGCATGCTTTGAATACAGAAGGTTTTTGGGATCTCCAAATCGGATT